TCCAGATGGACCGGACCGCCCTCGGCTCTTACGTGGGACATGCCGCTCTGGGTGACCGCCTTCTCCGAGTGCAGGATGCGCTTCACGGCTCTGGAGGACAGCGATCCGATCTGCGAGTCGGACAGCGGCTGGACCACGTCCGCCAGGCGGAACACCTTCTTCCTGCCGCCGGCGCCAGCCATCCTGCAGAGGAGCACAACGTCAGGGCGGCCGACAGACCACCAGGTCGGTTCTGGTTCCGGCGGGCTCACTTGGTCTGGACGGAGGGCAGGATGGGCTCAGGAAGCCTCTTGACGGCGGGCGCCTCGGGGGCAGGCGGCTTCTCGCTGTAGCCGCCCACCACGGAGATGGCCTGGCCCACCATGGAGGACAGCGCGACCGTCTGATCAGGACGTCCTTCCCCCCCGACTCGTCCTCCGCCGGCTCCTCCTTCCCCGACTCGTCCTCCCGCGCCTTGCACTGCTCCAGACCTGCCAGGAAACATCACTGTGATGTCACAGCTGCCCGGATTTCTGACAGGCTCCTCATGCTAATGCAGCTAGCCACTAGCTAGCACAGCCCCTCATGCTAATGCAGCTAGCCACTAGCTAGCACAGCTCCTCATGCTAATGCAGCTAGCCACTAGCTAGCACAGCTCCTCATGCTAATGCAGCTAGCCTCCAAATGCTAGCCTAGTAAACCATCATGCTAGCTCAGAAAGCCCTGCGGCCGTTAGCGGCGCTGACCTGGTCCGATCCCGCCGCCGTCATCTGGTCGCCATCAGCCGGGCCAGTTTGATCTGGGCGTCGGTTCCGGCCGACTCCACCGGTGTGTAGGTGGCCTGGAAGGACGCCGGCATGACGTCCGGCAGGTACACCATGCTGATGAGCACCTGGCAGACAGACGGGCGTCAGCTGGACGAGTCCAGGGCGACACAGACAGACAGGAAGTGGTGGCGTCTCACCAGTTGGCGACGTTTCTCCGGGGTCAGGGGTCGCAGGAATTCGGCCGTGAGGTCGATGGCTGACTGCGGAGGGGCGGCCGCCGGCTTCGGGGCAGCGAGCGGTACCGGCTCCTCTTTGTCCTCGTCGTCTTCGATGAGCGCCGGTTCTGAGGGCAACAGGACTTTGATTAGGCCAGTGGCGGCCGGGCAGAGCCAGGCGAGGGGGGTCACCCACCCATCTTGACCTTCTTGCCCTCGGCGGCGGGCTCGTAGCGCGGACGCTTCCTCTGCTCGCGCGGCGGCGGCGTGTTGCGGCTGATCTCGCTCTGCGGCATGCCCAGGTCCAGCAGCAGCGTCCCGATCTGGACCTGGAACTCCAGGCTGCACGGATGCTTCAGAACCGACACCAGGTGCAGCTTCAGGTTCTTCCTCACGCTGCTCACCTGGGACTTGGCCAGGGTGGGGGGCAGGTTGGCTGTGGGGGTAATTATCAATTGATCAGTTTAATCAACTGTTCATCCAACCAAACATCCGTCCGTCCGTCCATCGGTAGACCTCTGTGACCTCTGACCCCACCGTGCAGCGTCTCGTAGGCCTGCACCACCTCGGACATGAACATCGGGCGTTGCCTCGCGATGGTAGCTAGGGAGCCGAGCGCGGTTGTCAGGTTGATGCTGGAAATTGCCGGGTGAACCATGAACTTCAGCAGCTTGTCCAGCGCCGCCTTCCCCTCCTCGCACAGAGCGTCTGCAGACCAGAGACACGTTTTAGCGCCGCCACGCCACGCCTCCTCTGACCTCTGACCCCAGGCCGTACCGTAGCGGATGTAGGGGTGGTCCCTGGGGACCTTGTCCAGGCTGATGTCTCCTTCCTGTCTCTTGGGGACGTCGGACTCGGGCGTCCGCGGCGACAGTGTGACGATCAGCGACTCGGTGAACTTGATGGCGTGCGTCCGGACGCCGTCGTTCTCCGAGTCGAGCATGCTCAGAACGTCTCCGGTCATCTGGGACACCAAGTCCCAGCAGGCCTCCTGCATCTCCGACACCGACCGGGACCGGACCAGCCACTGGCGGGAAGAGCCAGAACGGATCAGGTAAAAGGTCGGGTTCCCTCTGCTGGGTCCGGTCGGCCCGCTCCTCCTACCTGCAGGGCGACCTTGTAGAGCTGCGTCAGGGACAGGATGGCCTTCTTCACCACGTTGACGCTGTCGTCCTTCAGCAGCAGGTTCAGGTTGGCGATGAGCCGCAGCAGAAGCTCGTTGTCCCGTTTGCTGAACGGGTCAGAAACCACAGGAAGTGAGGTTCTGGAGCAAAATCAGGACCAGAACCAGCAGAGTTCTGGCAGCTCACCAGGCTTCCTCGATGAACCCGATCACAAACTTCCTGACTTCCATGGACCGGTCCGTCTGGAAGGCAATGATCTCCTGATCAACAGAAACATTTAAAATCAGATTGAAACACTAAAATATGATGAATCACATAAACTCTGATTGAATGGCAGCTTCATCAAGTTCGACTTTAAGATAAAAATCTTTATCAATGGGAGAAGAATATAACAAAATCATCAACATCCCTTTAATGAAAACAGAACGAAAGCTGAAATTGTATCTTTTTAAATGAACATCATTAAATCATGTCCTATAACGTGTGATCAATAAATGCTTAACTAAATGTATAGATTGTTGATTAAATATGCCGTTAAACAGCTGAAATCCAAACTGTCAAACATCAATCCGTCAAAAAGATTCGTCTTCTAATGTTTTACACATTTTGACCAGCAGGGGGCAGGAAATGTGAAGATTTTTGTCAATAGATCATTAAAACTGAAGAACTCAGTTATTTATTATGAAGTTTGTGATAGAACAGTGTCTTTATTCTAGGTGTAAACATCTTCATCCAGCCTTATTTTTATTTACTTTTCCATAACTCAGTTTTTTTACTTACATCCAGGAAGTTGTCCAGAAGAGACGGATCCTTGTTGATGATGAGTTCCTGAACCTGAAGAGACAAACAGAATCAGAGCAACTGCAGCACAACCTGCCAGCAGGGGCGCCCCTTCAAAAACACACAGAATAATGGATTTTACTGAAGCGAAAACAAACAAACCTGTTTGAGAACAGTGAGCTTTTCATCTGTGGGGATGAGAGCCGCCTGGTTCAGCAGCTCCACCACCTGAAGAACAACAAAACAAACATTTTATGGTTTCTAAAGGAAAAAAAGAGAAATGTTTCAGATAAAACAACAGCAGCAGCTTCATTTTCCACAAAATTATCTCTGCAGCAGAAACTGCTGCTCCATAAATATCTATTAAATGTTTTTCTTCTGTCCTTTAACGGTAAAGGAAACCCAGACAAAATCCTGAAATCCATGATATTCCAGGCCAGGATCTGAGAGGATTTCTAAAGGAAGCGTCTGCATCAGAAGAACCAACTCAGCTGCCTCCTTTACTCAAAGCCGAGAAGCTACAGGCAGATGATGAAGCTCCAACCTTATCGCCATGACAGGAGATGGTTGCTACGGTGACAGACCATATTTCTTGACTACCTGATCTAAATGTGGTCAGGTGCAACGAATGATTCTTTATAAAATCAGGAAATGATGGCCAACCCTGAGCATCCGCTTCATTATGCTGGAACGCAGACTGCTAGAGGAGGTCCTTCCTGTAAAATCTACAACTCTCTGAAGAACCTTTAATTTGATGTTTCTGTGGGATCAGAAACATGATCCCAAACAGAAAAAATGAGTTGGATGATCAGTTTCTCTCGGTCTGGATTCTTTTATCGATTCATTATCATTACCTTCTCGCTGGTGGTGACGTCGAGGACAGCAGGCGGCTCCCCGTCATCTGAAGGAAGCTCCATGATGCTGCTGTTAGTGGATCACAGTGAGGACGGCATGGTCTGGAAAAATCCTGGAAAATCCTGGAAAACATGGAACCGATTCAATGGAAGTTAACCAGAAAACTGGAGTCCAAATTCTTCACACCGAAACACGAACCGAGTCACTAACAATAAAGTGTCTGATATTTACGTCATGAATATGAGCAAATAAAATAATCACAAAGGTTCAAAACGAATTTTAATTAGAAAGTGCCACAGTTATCTTACCCGATATGCTAACCACGATGCTAACCTGCTCCGTTTTAACTTAATTAAAACATTTGAAACCCAAAAACATACCACTTTAATTCTGTCCTCTTGTTAAAGTAAGTATTTATAGCTGGCCGACAGGAAAATAGTTTCTTTCCAGAATATTTAATTCATTTATTTCTTACAAAAACAAAAACTGTTAGCGCGGAAGGCAAGAAGCCATTCTTCTTCTTCTTCTTCTTCTTCTTCTTCTGCTTCCGGTTTTAGCTCTGAATCAGCGCGTTTGTGCAGCACCACCCCCTAGTGTAAAGAAGGCAGATCGGCATGTCTTGGGATAATGTATGACTGTATGAGGATGTCTCACTATCTTTGATCCACTATATACTGTTTTAGTTTTCTGTCATACAGTTAAATAACATATATTTCGTAATTAAATAAATTGTATCCTTATTTCCTTCAGTTCCCAATATTTCCAGGGTCCATCCTTTCTTATTTTTATTCGCCGTCTTTCTCGTTCAGATTTAGAAACAAAGCAGTTCAGCAAAAAATCTTCTACATTTTATTTTATTTATGTAATGAATTCAATTGAATAAATTATCCACTGTTCAAAGACTGAGACATATTTTGAGTTCTCTAACTCAAACAGGCGAATAAATTATAAATATAAATTGACTGGCTTTTTTCAGTTTATGAATTCACACAAAGAACTCAGATAATTATTACAACTTTAAACAAAACAAAACATGAAATTGCGAAGAAAAAATATGATAATATTTCGCTTCTTTAATATCACAGTTTAATAAAATGTGTAACATTGTACACATACTATGTAAATACTGAGACAATTTTATCTATAAAATAACATCTTAATGTTAAGAAACCTGTTCGAGTTTCTAGTTTTTGTTCCGTCACATTTTAGAAATACATTTCCCCGAAGGCTTTGCGCCGCCAGTGACTCTGCTAGCTAGTTACGAAGAGAGGAGGAATGCTAATGTTTACAACCAGTGAAGTGGCTCTAGTTTCCCAGTAAAACCAGTGATTTAGGTAATTTTGCTGCACGGAGTGAAATGACAGTTAGATAATGCCAAATTAAATGACGAGGTTAAACATTCAGGTAAGAAAAATTGATTTTAACGCATTTTTAGTCTGATATTGTAATTGAGCTTATTAGCGCTTAGCTTGATAAACATTTGGCTAAACTGCGACTTAAACCTGAACATCAGACGTTTTACGAGTATCTATGCCTCTTATTGACCTTAATGTTGTTTATTGTAGATTAAAGAAGAACGGTGAATTGGTTTCTAACATTACTATTACATATAAACATGAAAGCTGTGCTACGCATTGAATTTAGTTCAGTGCCAGCTAACTCCATAGTTAACCTGGTCAGTACCAGAGTCCAGTTGGGTTTACAACTGAAGGTGTTCTGGTTCTGGGACAAGAGGTTCTGTAGAAACCAACCAGCATGAGCAGCAGGTCAGGGAGGTTCTGGTTCCGTTTAAAGCAACCACCTAAGATGGACAACCTGCAGAGGAGATAGACTCCTCGGATCTGACTTGCCACACGTTTAAGATTTTATTTGAAGGAATGACAAAAACTTCAATCACTTAATGAAAAACAATCAATAAAATAGATTAGGAGATGCTTTCTGATTGGCTGTTTTTAGTGTGCAGTATCCTGATTGGCTCTCTGGGTGTGTGCAATGTCCTGATTGGCCGTCTGGGTGTGTGCAGCGTCCTGATTGGTCGTCTGGGTGTGTGCAGCGTCCTGATTGGTCGTCTGTGTGTGTGCAGCGTCCTGATTGGCCGTCTGGGTGTGTGCAACGTCCTGATTGGCCGTCTGCGTGTGTGCAGCGTCCTGATTGGCCGTCTGGGTGTGTGCAGCGTCCTGATGGAATGGGTGTTCGTTATGAACCGGATGAGCTCTCAGGGCAGCGCGGCGGCCCAGCGGCGGCGCATGGCCCTGGGGGTGGTGATCCTGCTGCTGGTGGATGTCATCTGGGTGGCCTCGTCTGAGCTCACCACGGTAACCAGCTTTCATTGAAATACAGACTGGAAACCAGTACAGTACCAGTACAAACCACCCTCACTGTTTCTCTTCTGACCTTCTCTCCAGTACATCTTTAAGCGGCAGGACTACAACAAGCCGTTCTTCAGCACCTTCACCAAAACCTCCATGTTTGTTCTCTACCTGTTGGGCTTCCTGCTGTGGCGCCCCTGGCGCCAGCAGTGCAGTGGCGCCCTGAAGCGCCGCCAGACTGCCTTCGTAAGTCACTCTGCTTTGTTAGGCTGCAAATATTTAGAATTTTATTGATGCAATGTGGTCTTGAAAGCTGCTTCATGTTTTCTGTTATTTCTCCTGAAAACTTTGATCTTTTTACCCTTTTTGTTGAGTCAGGAACTGATTTTCTCTCATTTCTGCTGCAGTTTGCTGACGCTGAGGCCTATTTTGCTCCCTGCACCACTGACAGCGCTGTGAACAACTGCTTGGTGCGTCCTGACCCCTGAGGCGTCTGTCAGGGTAACAGCCGCTCTCTGTTTGTCTGTTGCCGGTAAAGAGTTTCTTCTTTGTCCGGTTTGTGCAGAGCGAGCCGCTCTACGTCCCAATGAAGTTCCAGGACGCAGCAGCCAATCCGTACGACTGTTTACCTGTAGACTGTGAAGCGGTGAGTTTAAATCTGATTTCAGCTTTAAATGAAACTCAAACCTCATTACTGATTACAGACACGAACCAGGCTGGAAAAAGACAAGGGTCAAAGGTCAGCTGGAGTCCTTCATTCTTCAGAGATCAAGATCAATCCCAAGATAATGGAAAATGTCAAATGATTTTAGGAATTAATAAAGAAAAAAAAAATTTATATAGTATGTAGTACAGGATATACAATTATTACATATAATAATCAGAAAATTAATAAATATGTGAAATCAAGCTAACGTTTCAAAAACTACACAAAAAGATGTTTAAAAAGCTGAATAAAATTTAAAATAAATTAAAACAACCAGAAAAAAAGTATTATTCCCAACATCTCAGATGACCAGCAGGTGCTAACATAGCCTCTGGTGCTAACATAGCCTTTGATGCTAACATAGCCTCTGGTGCTAACATGGCCTCTGGCGCTAACATAGCCTTTGATGCTAACATAGCCTCGTATGCTAACAGCCTCTGGCGCTAACATAGCCTTGATGCTAACATAGCCTCTGGTGCTAACATGGCCTCTGGCGCTAACATAGCCTTTGATGCTAACATAGCCTCGTATGCTAACAGCCTCTGGCGCTAACATAGCCTTTGATGCTAACATAGCCTCTGGTGCTAACATAGCCTCTGGCGCTAACATAGCCTTTGATGCTAACATAGCGTCTGGTGCTAACATAGCCTCTGGTGCTAACATAGCCCTGGGTGCTACCATATCTCCTGATGATAACATCTGCAGGTCTGTGTAGCTGGTTAGCATCAGTGAAGGTCCTGTTCTGACCCATAAGTCTTTGGTTTAAGTCTGATGATGTACTTCCTGTTTGGAGGTTGTTTTTTTTTTTGTTTTTTTTTTTTTTGTTTGTTGGAGGTGTTGAAATGAATCCCCTGCTCCGACCCCCCAGCCTCCAGAAAGCAACGGGTTCGTTTCAGCAACATCATGGAGGTGCGTCAGCTGCCGTCTACCCAGGCTCTGGAGGCCAAGTTGTCCCGAATGTCCTACCCTGCCGCCAAGGACCACGAGGCCCTGCTGCGCACAGTGGGGAAGCTAACCATCACCGATGTGGCTAAAATCAGCTTCTTCTGCTTTGTGGTGAGAAAAACTGGTCCTCCACACAGAGGAGCTAACGGTTCGCCTAGAGCTTTAATGTTCTGATAACTTGAAACGTTTAAGGCACAAGAAACTTTATTGATCAAACAAAATGAACAAACTGGGCATTATGGATGCATTTAAGCAATTTAACGTTAGCTTCTGCTAAATACCAGTGTAGATTAAGCCCTCTATGTTTAGCACAGTTAGCTTTTTAGTTAGCGACACAAACTGACTGGCTTAAAGGTGTTTTCTAAACTGGATCATATTTAGAACAGGTTTCATCTTTAACTGGTCCCTTCCTCCTCTGACTTCCAGTGGTTCCTGGCTAACCTTTCCTACCAGGAAGCTCTGTCTGACACGCAGGTGGCCATCGTCAACATCCTGTCCTCCACCTCAGGTCGTTCTCTCCTCCTCTATGTCTGACACTGAAGTTTAGCTGAGTTATGTTGACTGAAACCTTGTGTGATGTCACTTCCCTCTTCAGGCCTCTTTACGCTCATCTTGGCAGCCATCTTCCCCAGTAACAGCAGCGACCGGTTCACCTTGTCCAAACTGTTGGCCGTGGCTCTCAGGTGAGCAGGTGCTTTAGCTTTTCAGGCGCTAGCTAAGAGTTGTTTCAATGGTAAATGTTGTTGCTGTTGGTTTTCCTGTGTTTCAGCATGGGAGGAGTTGCTCTGGTGAGTCTGTCCAGCATGGACAGCCCTGATGAGAAAGGAGTCATAGGTAACCTCAGATCTACTGTCCCTCCGTTGGTGGAAGCGTTTAGCTAGCTGTGGCTAACCGTTAGCGTCCTGCAGGCTCTCTGTGGTCGCTGGCGGGGGCCGTGCTGTACGCCGTTTACATCGTCCTCATCAAGAGGAGAGTGGACCGCGAGGATAAGCTCGACATCCCCATGTTCTTTGGTTCGCCGATTCTTTATTAAACCCTTCTAAATGCTTTTTCTTCCACTGAACTTTATCACTGATTTCAGGTTTTAACACATAAAATCCTTCAGCTCATCAGCTACTTTAGGACTGGACAAAGTCAAAAATCATTTCATATAATTTCATAGTTTTTGGTATAAATATCTAAAATTCTGTTTCCTGTTTTCTCTCCACCTCGTTTTTTATTTTTAAGCAGTTTTGAGTCACAATGATAAAACTAAGTTACTATACAGATTGTTGCTAAGCAACTGAAGTTGGGGGGGGGACTGTTACCCAGCAGGTTGTTGCTAGGTAACCAAAGAGTGTTGATGTCACCCAGCTAGCTTTGTGGCTAAAGTCTTTGGTGTGCCTACATTTCCCAGAATCCTGTGCAGTTCTAGATTGGAGCTCAGTAAATATTCTATATATTGAACTGAATGAATCAGATGAATTATCGGTTGATATTGATCACGTGTCCATGGCGATGTATAAAGTTATTGTTTTATTGCCCAGCCCTAAAGCTACGGTACGCTAGGTTAGCAGCTCTTTGGGAATTAGCTTAAAGAAACAGCAAAGCCTAAAGAAAATCCTTTAAAGCAGGAGAGCCCAGTGGGCCCCTGAGGGCCCCTGAGGGCCGCGTCCTGCGTGTTTCAGTCTCTGCTTGGAACCAATGATGGATCATTGGAGGCCAAAGGAGAAACTGACCACCAGGGAGAGAATAAAACGTGCAGGATGCCGGCCCTCAGGGGGCCACTGTGGGCCCCACCGTAGCCTCCACTGTGGGCCCCACCGTAGCCTCCACTGTGGGCCCCACCGTAGCCTCCACTGTGGGCCCCACCGTGGCCTCCACTGTGGGCCCCACTGTGGGCTCCACTGTGGGCCCCACTGTGGGCTCCACTGTGGGCCCCACTGTGGGCCCCACCGTGGCCTCCACTGTGGGCCCCACTGTGGGCTCCACTGTGGGCCCCACTGTGGGCTCCACTGTGGGCCCCACTGTGGCTCCACTGTGGGCCCCACCGTAGCCTCCACTGTGGGCCCCACCGTAGCCTCCACTGTGGGCCCCACCGTAGCCTCCACTGTGGGCCCCACCGTAGCCTCCACTGTGGGCCCCACCGTGGCCTCCACTGTGGGCCCCACTGTGGGCCCCACCGTGGCCTCCACTGTGGGCCCCACTGTGGGCTCCACTGTGGGCCCCACTGTGGGCTCCACTGTGGGCCCCACTGTGGGCCCCATCGTAGCCTCCACTGTGGGCCCCACTGTAGCCTCCACTGTGGGCCCACTGTGGGCCCCATCGTAGCCTCCACTGTGGGCCCCACCGTGGCCTCCACTGTGGGCTCCACTGTGGGCCCCACTGTGGGCTCCACTGTGGGCCCCACTGTGGGCTCCACTGTGGGCCCCACTGTGGGCCCCATCGTAGCCTCCACTGTGGGCCCCACTGTGGGCTCCTCTGCTTTAAAGGTTTCTTTAATCCAGGGCCGGATTAGGGAGGAGCTGGGCCCTGGGCTCCTGACAGTTTGGGGCCCAAATGACTTTTTAAAATTACTTTTACTCATTAAAATTAAATTAACAGCAATAGATTCAGGACTTGGGGACCAAAATAAAATATTTAATAAAAAAAGAAAATAATTCTAGTAACTCAACAATAATCAAGACATAATATTTGTTTCATTACTTGAACTGGATGGCAATTATTGTGAATCCAAAACTGAGAAATGCTTTTGCATGTTTGCCTTATTAAAAATAAAGGCTTCCAAAAGAGCAGAAGCATCTTAAAGAGACAGACGCCCAATTTCACTGCGTTAAATTACAAAATATCAGTTAAAACTTCTTTTAACTGATATTTGATATATATTGCAATTTCATAACAACTTCAGGTAGTTACTTGATTGTGCTATAAAATCTCACCATGTGCCTGTAAAATACATAATAATGTCATTTAATACCAGGAGGTAGATTTGGTTGAATAATGAACTGATTTTCCAATAATTTTTGTATTTTCTGGTGAACAAAAAAATTTTTGTATTTTTCTGGTGTTCAAATTTGTGCCTCTTCCTCCTCAGACTGTGTTTTGTGTAAATATATATATTTATATATCTGTGTCTGTGTTCCAGGATTCGTGGGGCTCTTCAACCTGCTGCTGCTCTGGCCCGGTTTCCTGCTGCTCCATTTCTCCGGCTTCGAGGCCTTTGAGCTTCCCAGCCAGCTGGTCTGGACCTACATCCTGATCAACGGCCTGATCGGAACCGTCTTGTCTGAGTTCCTGTGGCTCTGGTGAGAGTCGAAGGTCAGAATGCGTTTGGACCGGGTCGTGATGAGTGACGTGTTTTCCTCTGCAGGGGCTGCTTCCTGACGTCGTCTCTGATTGGGACTCTGGCTCTCAGCCTCACCATCCCGCTCTCCATTCTGGCAGACATCTGCCTGCAGAAGGTCGACCCCTGAAGCCTGACCTCTGACCCCTGACTCCTCTCCATGCTCCGGTCTAACTCTGGTCCCTCTGCAGGTCCGGTTCTCCTGGCTGTTCTTTGCCGGAGCCGTCCCCGTCTTCCTCTCCTTCTTCATTGCTGCGCTGCTCTGCCACTACAACAACTGCGACCCGGTGCTGCTGGCGCTGCGCCGCCTCTACACCTTCATGTTCAGGAAGCACCGAGCGCAGAGGTACGGCGGCCCCAAACGGTCAAAAATATGATCAGGAAGCACCGAGCGCAGAGGTACGGCGGCCCCAAACGGTCAAAAATATGATCAGGAAGCACCGAGCGCAGAGGTAACGCGATCGTTCAAAGTCAAAATATTTCAATCTGCGAATAATTTCTCTGGAAAAGCTGAAAAAACACAAAATTGAACGATGAATTGAGAAGATTCTGACCTTAGAATGTGTAATGGAGGGACTAACTCCTGTTGACCAGCTGGGGGCGCCGGTGGAGAGGAACACTCCCATTAAAGCAGCAGTACTATTTAAAATGACAACCGTTCAACTGAACAAACTTGTGCATTTTATAAAACCGACAGAACACCAGAGCAGACGTCATAAAACAGAAAATAAAAAGTGAACAGTTCAAATTTGAGCGAACTGGAGAGCAGTAGGAGAAGAAAGTCAGACGAGTTCAGATGTGGATCAGCTGCAGAACATCTGCAGGTTCTGGTCACATCAGTTCTGTTGTGGAGTGACTTCCTGGTGTGATGCCGTTCTGACATCACTGTAATAACGGAAGCTGATTGGCTCAGACCTTCACCCTGCGGTCTGAGTCGTCGTAGTTCATCGTTTTCTCTCCTCGTTTTAGACCCCGTTGTCATGCTAACTAATGGCCGGAGATTCGGCCTCCATTGTTGCAGAAACGAACAAGTTATTTAAAAGTTAATAAAAACAAAGCTGCTGGCTTTTAGGGGTAAAACCCAAATATGGAGAGAATATGTTTGTGAGGATGATGATGACAATGTGCCTCTTCCTCCTCAGACTGTCAGACGAACAGTCTGAAAGCCTTATTCCTCTGCACTCGGTTTCCCCGCAGGACGGATCGTCCTTCTGAAGGTCAGTCTGATTTCAGAACTTCACATGTATCATCAGTTAATATTTCCATTTCAGAATGACTAATGTGACATGTTGAGTTAGTTAAACGTTCCTGAAAAACTGATCTATGTAGGACGCATCTATGTAGGGCGGATCTATGTAGGGCGGATCTATGTAGGGCGGATCTATGTAGGGTGGATCTATATAGGACGGATCTATGTAGGGCGGATCTATGTAGGACGCATCTATGTAGGGTGGATCTATGTAGGGTGGATCTATGTAGGGCGGATCTATGTAGGACGGATCTATATAGGGTGGATCTATATAGGGTGGATCTATATAGGACGGATCTATATAGGACGGATCTATGTAGGACGCATCTATGTAGGGCGGATCTATGTAGGGCGGATCTATGTAGGACGCATCTATGTAGGGTGGATCTATGTAGGGCGGATCTATGTAGGGCGGATCTATGTAGGACGGATCTATGTAGGGCGGATCTATGTAGGACGGATCTATATAGGGTGGATCTATATAGGGTGGATCTATATAGGACGGATCTATGTAGGGTGGATCTATGTAGGGTGGATCTATGTAGGACGGATCTATGTAGGGCGGATCTATGTAGGACGGATCTATGTAGGGCGGATCTATGTAGGACGGATCTATATAGGGTGGATCTATATAGGGTGGATCTATATAGGACGGATCTATGTAGGGTGGATCTATGTAGGGTGGATCTATGTAGGACGGATCTATGTAGGGTGGATCTATGTAGGACGGATCTATGTAGGACGGATCTATGTAGGGCGGATCTATGTAGGGCGGATCTATGTAGGGCGGATCTATGTAGGGCGGATCTATGTAGGACGGATCTATGTAGGGTGGATCTATGTAGGGTGGATCTATATAGGGTGGATCTATATAGGGTGGATCTATATAGGGTGGATCTATATAGGGTGGATCTATATAGGGTGGATCTATATAGGGTGGATCTATATAGGGTGGATCTATGAAGAGTTTTTCCTTCTCTTGCAGCCGTGGAGCCGCTGAGCCAACAGGCTGGAAGCTTCCTGGGCGTTGAACCTGTGCCTGTCATCCATCCATCCAGCCTGATCTTGTATTTGTGGTTGTTTGTGTCAGTTCTGGTTTTGTAGAACCGGTTCCGGGTCGGATCGTCGTTCTGCTGAGTCGGCTCTACTTAGTGCTGCTGTTTTCAGGAATCAGTTTAAAATCAAACATCCAGTTAAATCCAACTTTATTTGCTTCGTTTGAGGCGAATGAAACCAGAACAGCTGATCTGGACCTGAGAACAAACTGAAGCTCAAAACCAGTGAAGAACTAAACGTGACGGAGAACCGCTGGACCAGAACACTAATTTCTCCTGGATGGATTGACCTTTAACCTCAAAGGAAATGAAATGATTCAGGTTGCTCTGAGTTTCCTCCGTTTAATGGAGATCAGAGCAGAAACTCGATTCAGGCGAAGAAACACGTTTATTTATCAATCACTACAGATTTCTACTGAGTGACGCTGAAAACGCAGCGGAGCTTCCTGTCTGCCGGGACTTCTGTCCTCAAACAAAGCACTTCTTCTTCTTCTTCTTCTCCTTCTTTTTCTTCTTCTTCTTCTCCTCCTTCTCCTTCTTCTTCTTTCTCCTACTTTATCGTTCCTTCCTGTGAACTCGTCCTCAGCAGAAGAAACCGACTCTTCTCGGTTCGTCCGGTTAAATGTTTTTGCTTCTTGGTTTTTGTTTGTTGCACTTTCTGTTTTTTTCTTCTGTGGTGATTTCAGCTGAGAAGATTTAAAGAACATTAATGTTTTATAATGGTGCTTGTGAAATCATGGGTTGGTTTTTCTTTCTCAGGTTCTCTGTCTTGTTTTGAGGATGTTGTACAATCTAAAGAAAAAAGCTTAAAAAGTTATCTTGTTAATAATAATCGCCCCTTTATCAACCAGTTCGTGAATAATTCTTTTATTTTTCAAAACTGTTTTCATACTTCAGTGCACTATTAAAACATATCTTTCTAAAATTCAGAGTGAGGTGTGTTTTGTTTTGGAAACGTGTCTCAGCCAATCACAGGCTGATTCTTAGGTCACTTCCTGGTTATCTTCATCCCGCCCTGTAGGGGGAGCAGTCACAGTTCCTGATTGAACATCCTGCATCCAGGGGAGTCACGTTTTCACTGTCAGTTTCCAAATGTCTCAGTTTGGAACTAAATATTTAGTCTATAATTAGTGTTTGGTCTGTAGGTTCAGGCCTCGGATCAAAGATGGCGGTGAACTATGGCTGCATGTCGGAAACAGTCGAAGTTTTGTAACATTCATGTTTTATTCAGCTTTTATTTTGTGTTCTGATCTGAAGCTTTATTACTTTTAAACAAAGCCATGGTAAGCTAACGTCAAAACGGTCGTTTGCATGCAGTACCGGTAGGGGGCGCTGCTGTCTGGGAACGCCTGGGCTAAACTGAGCAGCATTCCTGCAGAATGAGTCTGTTGGGAGGATTTAATATAAACTCTGGTTTCCCTCTGCTCTTTATCACCAGACTGACGGCCACGCTAATATTTATCTTCCCTTTTCTGGGATCTCGGTATCAGCAACGTTCAAACAGTTCTGCACCGTAATAAGACAATAAATCAACTAAATATGTCGTAACTCCCTGTTAGGCAAGCACAGTCACCTTTGACCTTTGAGTTATACCAACCAGCCATGGAGGCTTCAGTTGGCTTGGAGCCAGTTTGTTTCCGTCTCAGTTATTATGGAAAACTGATTTTAAAACTTCACCAAAACATTCAAGCGTCAGTGTTTAAATATTAGTTAATGAGAACAATATAATAATTAACTGATGTAAAAACACCAGCCTGGGTAAAATAAATATTTATTACTGATGGAGTTACTGGAATTAATCCACCTTAAGGAAAATTATAATTCATTGAATAAAGGCTGAACTTTAATCTAGGCATGTTTCCTGTTCTTTAAACTTTAAAAGCAAACTGTAAATTAACTTGATTGACGTAACGAATAAATAAACAGACCAAGGCTTGTAAATCAACTTAAGGAAGTCATCCTGGTAGCTTTATGAGGACGTCATTAGCTCTCAGGAGCTAACTTTAGCTTAGCTAGCCCTTGGTCATCCTGGAAGCGCTGACTAAAATACTTGTAAATTTTTATCAGTGCTAAATTAACTTATAAGTTAAATGTCCTATCTGGTTATCAGAATAAGAGTTTTTGCAAAACATGTATCATTTTAGGGATGCTAGCAAAACATATTTTAATAATGTAATTCAGTGTTTTCCAGTTGAAACATGTGAGTTTGACCACAGATCCCATCAGGCTAAAGGGAAAAGATTTCATCCAGTCTGCAGTGAGATGCTGCAAAGTGTTAAACGGTTTAGATGTTGCGTGCTGCAGCAGGTGTTTGCGTGCTGCAGCAGGTGTTTGCGTGCTGCAGCAGGTGTTTGCGTGCTGCAGCAGGTGTTTGCGTGCTGCAGCAGGTGTTTGCGTGCTGCAGCAGGTGTTTGCGTGCTGCAGCAGGTGTTTGCGTGCTGCAGCAGGTGTTTGCGTGCTGCATAAATAATAACTGATGTAAAAACACCAGCCTGGGTAAAATAAATATATTTACCCAGGCTGAGCAGCATTCCTGCAGGATGCTGCTCAGCCTGGGTTTGCGTGCTGCAGCAGGTGTTTGCGTGCTGCAGCAGGTAGTGAGTGCTGCAGCAGGTAGTGAGTGCTGCAGCAGCTGTTTCCTCTCGCTCTGAGAGGAGCAGAGATTCAGAGCTTTAATGCTGATAAGGCTGCATGTGTTTAATGTTTAACGGCCTGGAGGGAGGAGGAAACTCGCACCGAGACGGAACCAGGCGCAATGAAGCCATTCATCCAGACAGAGACGAACCGGACCGGACAGGGCTTCAGGACAGAACCAGAACCAGAGTCCAGTTTGGAGATTTATTGAAACTTTTTTGGATCTGAGTGTAAAAGTGACTGATAAACCTCTGGGTGAGTTGGGATTATTGTGGAGGAACCTGGTTCTGGCCCGCCGGTTCCGTCCAGAGGGACTGTGACCTGAAGCTGATAAGATAATCGATACCTAGATCGGATCCCAGCTGCGCTGCGCGATGAGCGACAGCAACGAGACCGATGTGGGGATCGACTGGAGCCAACTGGAGCCCACTTATCCCGCCAAGGTCTGCATGACGCTCCTCTACTCGCTCATGCTGGTTGCAGGCATTGTGGGTAATTCAGTGACCATCCGGGTGACGCAGGTGCTGAGGCGAAACGGCTACCTGCAGAAGAACGTGACGGACCACATGGTGAGCCTGGCCAGCTCCGACCTGCTGGTTCTGCTCATCGGCATGCCGGTGGAGCTCTACAGCGCCATCTGGGTTCCCTTCGGATCCGCGTCCGGAAACGCGTCCTGCAAGATCTACAACTTCCTGTTTGAGGCGTGCAGCTACGCCACCATCCTCAACGTGGCCACGCTCAGCTTTGAGCGCTACGTCGCCATCTGCCACCCGTTCCGCTACAAGGCGCTGAGCGGCAGACGGACCTCGGTTCTGATCGCCTTCGCCTGGGTCGTGTCCGTCCTCGTTGCCTTGCCGTTGCTGATCGCCACGGGAACGCAGGGCGAGCAGCTGAGCTTCTGCACCAACCTGAAGGAGCACTGGCTGATGTACAGGGCCAGCATCTTCGGGGCGTTTGTCCTCTACATCATCGTGCTGGTCTGCGTGGCCTTCATGTGCCGGGCCATGATCCTGGTGCTGAAGAAGCCGCTGGGATCCACGGACGGCGGAATCAACGGGACCGAAAGGCCCGGAAAGCACGAGAGCGAAACCACCAAGGCGGCCCGGAAGCAAACCATCATTTTTCTGGTGAGTTTTCTGATTCAGGTTCAGATCATCAACATGAAGCTGAAGGTTTATGGTCCCAACCGCTGGACGTCAGGAGGAGAGACTAAAGAGAGAAAAGTTTTTATCAGTCATGTGATGTCAGGGTCTCTGATCCAAATCCTGACCTCAAAATGTGACCTGCTGACCTCAGGCCTTCATCTCATTGGACCAGGAGCCATTTCTGCTGCTAGCGCTAGGCTAGCATGTTAGCTTAGGTTGGATTTACCCAGAATGCCCTGCGCTGTAGTCCACCTTCCTGCTTGTGGAGCGCTCTCTGGTCCGCTTGGCGTTCACATTCAAACTGAACTCAGACCTGGAGGACCAGAGGTCAGAGGTCAATTAGTGTTCACACCTCACCAACTGAACCGGACTTTGACTAGGCAGACGGACTGAGCAGGTTGAATCCTCAGTTTGTTTCCATGTGTTGGTTCTCGTCTTGGTCGTGATGCTGCTGCCCTGATGGGCCGTTTTAGGGAACTGGAGCCTTCAGACTGAGGAAGGAACCAACGTCTGCTCAGCGTTTTCATGCAGGAAGTGACCTCATGAAACTCCAAACAGTTTCTGCTAATCTTCATTCGTTGCTATTTTTTTTTACTTGATCATTTTTATTTTCTGATTTTGTGAACTGGTGCAAATTCCTTTGTTGTTTGAAGGCTTGTTTTTGACATGATTTCTGCTGTTTGCTGCTGACATCGTCTGTCGTCTGATATCGATGTTGCTGATCAGAAATCCACTCATTGGTCGTTAATCGAGTTTCGCCCAAACCGCTCCAGCTGTTCTGTGTTGCATCACAACGAGTCCGACGGCGACACAACGGTTTTAAACTGAGCCACGAATCCTTCTGAGGATTAAACAGGAAGATAAAAGTCCTACAGAGATGGAATATCTTTCAGAGGCAGTCAGGTGTTCAGAGTTTCCAAGTCAGATCAAATATTAATAAGAATCTGCAGAATAAAGAGGCTGTGAGCAGCGAAGTGGAGGGACTCTGAGCTTTGTCGGTCGGCTGGGCGGCGGCCAGATCAGCGCCGAGACGAGATGTGAAAGGAAAACAGAAAACGAAGCGTGGAACAGCTGCCTGGTTCCACTGAGTTCACATGGAAACATGGAGCAAATGAAGCTGCAGACAACATGAAACCTGCATCTGAAATACAAACAAGCAGAAGGAATCCTTCATCACATTTACAGTTACATAAATGATATATATATAAACGCTCAGAGCAAAGAATGAAATGAAGGGGCTTTTTGGAAAATGACGCTAACGGTGGAGAGCCAACCTGCTAATTTATAAATAAAAAGCTCATCTTAATGCTCCAGGATGCTTTCTATCCTTGGAAACTCTTTGCATGTTTAGCTTCCCTTATGTTGTGTTTTACTCACTTTAAAACATTTAACATCTAAATTCATTTTTCTGCAGGATTCAAAAGCATTAAGTTAAAAATTTGCTCCTCAAATTATGGTGATAATTTTCTGTTTCTATCTGATTCAACATTAGTTAAGAACAGGAAGTTATTCTTCCTCTCATCGCTTCTTTGCATATTTTGTAGGAAACCAGCAGCATTGTTTTCTCTGATCCTCGGCATCAGATCTGCTGTTCACTGCAAACAAACTTCTGGATCCATCATTGATTCAGACTTTATTACTGTCGCCTCTGTTTATTGGAAGCCTGCAGCGATGCTAATCCAGCGGCTAGCGCAGGCGTCTGCTTCCTGTTGCAGAGGAAGTTCTGTTGGAGGATTCTCCGAGCCGCCGGGTCGCTGATGCTGCTGGTCGCCACAGCAACTCCAATAACCAGCACTAGAATATTGATGCCCACATAAATATTGATGAAGCCGATATTATGTTTCCCACGGAGGAAATATGAGTCTTTGTTTTATTATTGACATTTATGGCATCCCACTAAAAGAAAAAATTCATCCTGATCAACTTTCAGATAAATCTTTAAAATTACTCTTAAAAAATTTGCTGCAAAAAGTTTCAAATTTTGATTTTAATCTCAGAAAAAAAAAATCTGAGTTTAAAAAGTCAAACATTTGTAAGAAAAATAAAGGAAAACTTCACAAATTTCGCCTCCATGTTGCCATGTTGACATGTTGCCATGTTGACATGTTGCCATGTTGACGTGTTGCCTCCATGTTGACATGTTGCCATTTTGACATGTTGCCATGTTGACATGTTGACATGTTGCCATGTTGACATGTTGCCATTTTGACATGTTGCCATGTTGACATGTTGCCATGTTGACGTGTTGCCTCCATGTTGACATGTTGCCATTTTGACATGTTGCCATGTTGACATGTTGCCATGTTGACATGTTGCCATGTTGACATGTTGACATGTTGACATGTTGCCATGTTGACATGTTGCCATGTTGCCATGTTGACATGTTGCCATGTTGACATGTTGCCATGTTGACATGATGCCATGTTGACATGTTGCCATGTTGACATGATGCCATGTTGACATGTTGCCATGTTTACATGTTGACATGTTGACATGTTGCCATGTTGACATGTTGACATGTTGCCATGTTGACATGTTGACATGTTGACATGTTGCCATGTTGACATGTTGCCATGTTGCCATGTTGACATGTTGCCATGTTGACATGTTGACATGATGCCATGTTGCCATGTTGACATGTTGCCATGTTGACATGTTGACATGTTGACATGTTGCCTCCATGTTGACATGTTGACATGTTGCCATGTTGCCATGTTGACATGTTGACATGTTGACATGTTGCCTCCATGTTGACATGTTGACATGTTGACATGTTGCCTCCATGTTGACATGTTGACATGTTGCCATATTGCAATGTTGACATG